TAAAACAAAACAATACTTCCATCGATGTAAAACTTTGAAATTGGGGACCCTCTTTAAGATTTTCCATAAAAGTTAAATTCCATAAAAACAAGCAACCAATTAAAATTTACACTACATTGCATTAAAATCCAAGTTCAATAGCACTTAGAATGTAAAAAAGGGTCACACTTTAAGATTGGTTTTAACTAACTTACAGCATAGCAGAGTCCATGATTACAAGTGCTGTATAGTGTACTGAATTCTTTGAGTATAGGTAACTGATTTGTATGTCAAGTAACAGTCTAATGAACACCAACAAGCTTTAAGATTTCTGCAGGAATGCCATCAGCTAAACATGTTGAACAAGATCAACATGTTTCACTAGATCAAATATAATCATCATGAAATTGCAAATATTAACATTTTGGGCCATAGGGCCCAGGTTATTTTTAAGATGAATCTTTTACACTTAGCTTAGTTGAGTTTCGCTAGGTTTAGTTCATGGTAATAACTATAAAAATAGTTATAAAAAAAACTAAGAAGTATTGATTGTGTGGCAGTGGTTTAGGGTTGAATATAGCCGTCTGTATAATTGTTGTTACTTTTTTACAATGTAAAGTAAGATTGTAGTCACCAGGTGCTCTTCCATTTCTCAGGGATCAGACAACGAAGGATAGTTCCTCTTCCCGAAAAGCTGGTAACGCGCCCTAATCTCCAAATTCCCTTGCTGGTCACGGTGGGTGCTTTGGAAATAACACTTCAATGACAGTAGCCACGGCGACAGGTTCCATGATCCCTATGACCGTAGGGGGTGATCAAGTCACTAGCTTTTGGGTTACAATCTTGTAGCCTATCACCCAAGGATTATTCTGGATGTCCTGATACAGTTGCTTCCAGCACCTGATGTTACTCCAGTTGATATCACCATGGTCATCTCGCATGGGGGCCTTGTGCTCTGCCGATCTAGCATTACCTTCAGGCCGGTTTCTGGCATGCTGCGCTGCTCGTCAGAGCCCTAGGCACATTCTCTGGGGTCCTGCAATCTTGGGTTTCCACCAGTAAACTGGCTTCTTTCTGCGGTGGGCGAAAGTCCTAAGCATGGAACAGTCAAATGCCGAAGATGGTGGGACGCATCTTCAATGTGGCTTGAAATTCGGCACTTCTAATGTCCCCAAAAGTTTGATTTTTGATGTAACCCTGAAAAGTGGCCTGGCAAAGACGAGGTCCCAACATTGAGACGGATGAGCTGAATTGGCATATGGATACCCAACTCAGGAAAGCTCGAGAAGTTCCCTGAAGACGATTGCCTGATAAGTCCCTTGCAGAGTAGTCCTTGGAGACTCACCAGTCCGTGACTGTTGGGCTAGGGCTTCAGATGCCAGAGAGATGTTAGGGATCATCTTTCCTTGCCAGGGGTGACAGATGATGAAAATGTCACCTGTATTAAGGATATATGAAGGTAGCCTGGCTGCCATCTCTACAACATACTGACCCTCTGTGTTTGTTTGGGGTAAACCCCATTCCACCGCCCTAGCATTGAAATCCCTTCAAACAGTCACCTCACCAACACCATCGATTTTTAAGATCTCGTCCTCCAGAGAGATGACCATCTGACAGTACTCTGCAATGTGCTGGTTGGGTGTGAAGTAGCAGGAGAAAAAAATACTTGATACTAAATATTTACTCCTGCATAATAATTTTGAATTTAAAACTATCTTACGATATGGTAAAGTAAAGTAGTAGGGCTACAGTAGTAACGAATGCGTAAATACAGTGTTAACGTCACAAGTAGAAAATTTAAGGTACGACCCTTGGCGAGGGCTTTAAAAACTTCTACGAGTGTCGTTAACACTATTTACGCGAGTTGCGTACACCACTTTACCTACGACAGTGTTATAATTACTTAAAATCACTACTCATAACTTCTAAGAAGAGAGGTTATGTTTTCGTTTATAGTATCATTGCCACTGAAAATTATGGAACGAAACATTGTACCAAACACTGATAGTTAAGCACCACTCGACAATTAAATTAGCCGATTAGTTCGAATCATTACAATTTTAATTCCTCTATCTCAATAGTTGAACCCATGGTGGAAGGAAAATACAAAGGTGTGCTATTCCCGTAATTTGCTGTTGAAGTCACAGTCACCAAGATTGCAAACACCATTTCACCATTTAGAACAAAAATATATAAACAATAACAATCAAATCAAAAACAAATATATATATATTTAAATATGGCAATACTGTACAATCAGGTGATTTTTCGTTTGCAATCTGGGTGACGTCAGAATATGACGGGAATAGCACACCTATGTATTTTCCTTCCACCATGACTTGAACCTCATTGGTCCGTTACCTGTGTTATGATAAAACTATGATGTTATGAGAAACTTTTAAATTCTAACAACTGAACTGAAACGGCTATTTTAATAAACGGTCGTAGGTAAATGTATTAAAATGTGAATCCAAATATATAAAGTTTTAAAACTGTTTCGAGTAAACATTTGTTTGATCATTCACACAACAAATTCAGCAGTATCTGATGGTTCAAAAATAGTGTTTCCTCCCATGCAACACCTAAAAGGTTTAAATTCTTGTATTTTGAAATGTTTATAATTCTTATGGGTCATGTAAGGGATGTCCTTACCCTCAATGTATAATGGTTCTCACTGTTATAATTTATTTCTGAATGTTGTAGAGCAATGAAACATCACAAAGTAATTGTTGGAGTCTCTATAGATTGACAAACCTAATATTATTTAGCATTTTCGAGCAATATTGCTGCTTTTAAATACATCGGAATACATTCAGTGATTATACATAGTTCCTTAGTGAATTTTCTCAAACCTGCCTAATGACCTTGGACCAAGGTCCCTTTCATATACCAACTCCCTGATTCCTGGTCCTGCTTTAATGACGCAAGTCCAAAGTACAGTAAAGAAAATGTTTTGGTGAAAAGGTATTATGGATTTGGTGTTAGTGCCTTAATGAAGTTCAAACTGCTTGAGCAGCTGATCAACTGATATGAATGTGGATAGGCCTACTGTTAAATAACATTTTTTTATGTATGAAATGGTCTTCGTTCATTCTCATACGTGACTTCGGAGCGTACTCCTAGTAATAGTTATAGCAATAATATGGCTTCTTATGACACCAGACTCACGCAAACATGGCGGCTGGCGACACGCATCTTTGACATTCAGTGCTACCTCCAGTTAGAATTATAGCTCAGTGCTCAATACCGTATCGTTGCGGTATTGGTGTTCCCTCAAAGTGACGTCAGCAGTTAGTGACATCAAACGGCACCTGAGAAATCTTCCGTGTGCCGTTTCGGCTAACGGTGTGGGTGTATTTGTGTATTTACGAAATATTGGTTACTGGACTATGACAATATTGAATTCGCTTAAAAATGTACAGATATATATTTTTAATTCATTTTGTTTCGGAATTCGGTTTTCAATTCTGTATATTTTATTTTAAATATTTTAATAAATTTATGTTCATAATTTTAAATTTAAATCAATTGATCTGATCTAGTGATGATCTGATGCACTGAGCAATAGTTATATATATATTACTGTAGTTCAATGACTAAAACCATTAACTTTGAATATATAGAAAGCAGATTTCTCCTTTAATAAGCTTGTTTTGATAAACGGTTTATGACCGGACACGTTTGAGTTTGCTAATGTCTCTTAATGTTTTTCTCCTAAGTACTGTATACAATTTACAACGTTTGCTTTACTTTCCTGGTGTCAAAGTAAAAATTATTAGTTTGAAAATACGTAGAATTATTGAGGGTAAAATAAAGCCAAATTTGGTAAAAAAAAAACAGAAACATAAAATGGCAAATTAAAACCCCATCATTACTTTGTGTAGGTACAGAACCAAACAGAACACATAGACATAGGCTACTAGGTGACCCATTAGGGTGCCGAATCAATAAGCTAATTAAATTGTACGTTCGAACCATAGACAGATCCATAGTTATTTTATTGTCCTTATGGATCAAATGAAAACGGTTTCTTCGTGGTTTATGTAATTTAAAATGTTTTGTTCTTCATTGTGTGTTTTTTTTTAATTTTACTAAATATGTACTTGAGATAATATGAAATACAGTAGACAAATTATTTGGGCGGTGACTTATTTTCATCAAATTTAACATACCGACACAACTGGTCACTGTATACTTTTAATTCAACTACTATTCAGTATGTTTTAATCCAGCGGGACCAGCAGACAAAATTCGTATGAAAATGGTGCAATCTAGGTTTTACTTTCAACGATTTGATATATGATTAATGTTTCATCTAATTTAGAGGGTAAGAACAATAAAAACAATCTAATGTATTGTAGTGCGATATTTCTGAATTTCCTTTTTGTTACGTAGTTTATTGTGTTAAGAGACAGCTTATGTTTTAGTTTGGCACGCACATTAGAACAGAAACGGTATGGATGAAAAACATTAAGGTGAAATGTGTGTGCACTGGGCGAAGTTTTTATTTCTTCTGTGGTTTTTCGATACGGATGAAATGAGAACATCGGACGTCGTGGCGTGACGTCACCCTCTTCTCTTGAGGGAACGCCTTTACCGCAACTTGCAACGCAACCAAATAAACCATAATTACAAAATTATAAATTAATTTTTAGTTTTTAATTACAAAATTATAAGATTAATTTTATAATTTTTCATTTTTTAACTCTCATTTCGTCCATATTGAAAAACCGCAGCTGAAATAAAAATTGTGCTGCCACTGACCCGACAGTAAACATGATTATTATAATATCCTAAGGGAACTGTCAAACCAGCCCCTTTATTATAACGTTTCTGTTCTAATATTCGTGGGTTTTAGCTTGATTATATTTCTCTCCAAAGGGATGGTTTATAATCAATGCTAAAGATTAAATATAGCTCTTACTCGTTATAGTATGTTTTAATAGTTCTCCAATTAAAAAGGCACTGTTTGTCAACGACAACACAAAGTGTAAAGTGTCAAAATGGTCCAAATTATTAATGGCTGCTTTGGTGTCAGGATTTCTGAATTAGTTAGATATCCAGTTAAATAATATAATTCTATTAATACTTAAGCTAATATATTTTCTATCGTTTGCCGAAATTTGTTGTTTTTTTTATATTGTTAGTTTAGCAAATCTGCTTTCATAGAAGAGTGAACGTCTAGCTGTACAACCAAAGAACCAAGCCCAGATTTTATTGGATTTTCTGGAGTTATGAAAGAAGTGAAGGCATTTTGTTTGTTTTCATCAAGAATAAGGGATTATATAAATTAAATTAGTGACATATAGTGAGTTATCCGTCTCTAAAAAAACTTAAATCAAGGTAACTTTCAATTTGCCATTTTTAGTTTTAATTTGTGTTTGTTGTGACTTTTTTTAGAAATAGGCTATTGAGGCCTAGGCCTGCCTTCCTTAATGTAGAGAAACTTCACTTTTAGGTATTTGGTGTTGGTTTTAGTTTTAGTATTATAACGAAAAGAAGGGTTTATTAAAGTTAGTCTGTTAAAAATTGTGACCTAAGAGCCAGTTTCACCTACATAGTCCAGTGTTTTGCGATCTAACTTACCTATTAAGTTAGGCTAAGGCTTTTCGTTTATATGTTGACAAACTCATCTGGACTCGAACTTGTTCTTAGACTTTTCATTAAATAGATCCCAAAAGGATGGAATGTATTTGGTTTTACTGCTGATTCCTGTTAACCTCTAGGTGCCGCATTTAACACCTGTAAATGTCACTTAATTTTTGAGACTTTTGCGGAGTTTGATTAAAAAATCTAAATGATGACATAGATATATAACATTGTATATTTTATTAAAGCAAATAAAATTGTCTATCTAAAAATGTATGATATTTGTGTCTTTTAAATTTTTTACATTAACCTCAAATGTAAAAAAATAAAAATCACTATATTTACAAAAACTGAGATCATTTTGTTCTAAATGTAATAAGGAAAAAGAAAATATATAGTTTCACCCTGTTTTTCTTCTCACCTAGTTTTTTCTTTCTAGTTTTTTTCTGTTTTTCACTCTAAAAATCACGACAACAACAGTACAACGTAAACACTCGTTCCCTAGCAACATAAACAAACAATGACATATGGGAAAACTATCACAGAACAAGAAAATAGTTCGGGAAACGGCCGTCTTTTATACTCAACATGAAGCCCAGAATCTCCTGAACACGATAGTACCGGTATGCCTGATGACCGGGTTTGTTCGATCTTGTGGGATTATATCAACTGAAACCGTAGGCCTGTCAAGTCGCCGTGATTACGGCGATTGACACTTGCGGAAAAAAAATAGTCGCCGTAATTACGTCGATTGACAGCTAGAGGGTTAACTTATTTAACTTAAGTTATTTGGGCGACTGAACCAAAATACTCTGAATGGGGAAGGATCCCTATCAAACCCATCCAGTCGGACCCCCTTCCACTGCTCTTTTGATTCTACAGTGAATCAGTCCTGATACTTATTGAATGGAGCCTGTATTTTAAATCATGAATTAACCCTAGCAGTGGCCAATGCTAGAAGTGGGGAATAGCCAACCCATTTTGGCGATTTTGCAGACCTTTTTTTGAAAATTCATAACAATTCAACCGTACAAGTAAACCTAGCCAACCTCATATTCATTTTGTTCGGAAAGAACAGGAGAATCTAGAAATAGTAATATAATAATGATTTAGACAGTGTATTTTTTTTTTCGGTAAAAGTGAAAGAAATAAAAAAAATTATGTGATTATTTTTTAATTCAAAAGCGGCCTTGGTATTTTTTTTTTCCTACAGATTTTTAATGGGAAATTCATTATATAGGCTACATACATTTTGTAGACAATCTAATTCCCTACATAGAAATATAATAACATGTTAGGAAAATATTTTTTTTATAAGTTTTTGGGGCGAAATATAATAACAAACGGAGAACTGGAAAAATTGAAAACCGTACAGTGTTATTTTAGTTTGTGTTGTAAAAAGTAAATATATATATGTGTATACTAATAATGATATAGGCCTATTTATGTTTGTAAAGCTAATGAAGTTAGGAATAAAAAAAAGTCATAAAGTTTAGGCCTATGGTAAAAATATTTTTTTATTTATAAATAAAATAATGTTTTTGTATTTTAGCGATTTTGTGAAAAAAATCATAGTATTTAGTATAAAACTTTTGTACCAAATTTTTTTACTTCAAACCAACATAAACATCATGTAGGTAGTGTATTCAATTTCAAATACCTAGGCCTACATAAAAATGTATAATACGTTGGGTAACAATTTTTGGTTTTACGTGCTAGATTCATAATAATATAAATAAACGGAAAACCGCAAAATACAACCGCAAGAAAAATACAACCTTTCATCACTATTCAGTAAATATTCATGCATAATAAAATGCATGAAGATTACTGTTACATACACCTTACACATTTCTCTAAAAATACGAAATAATAGGCCTAACAAATTTAGTAATCAATCGCAGATAAAACGAGAGCGAAAACTCATCAGCAACAATACGCAATGGCGAATACAAGGCACTTTGTGTATGAGACCTTGACAGTAGTGACACACTTTCGTCGTCTTAGTGAGAGAAAACGGGAATAACCCTGAGCGCAGGGCTGCCACTATCACAAGCTACCATTTCTTCCTCTTCAAAATGACATATTATATGACTAGTAATAATAACTTACACTGTATGTAATTCGTATTTCCTATGGTTGGCCGTTTGTTATAAATTTCGAAAACAGCTGTTTTCATAAAATCGTACAGGTTCTCCAATCAATATTTAGTTATAAATATCACTACCACAATGAAGATAAAATCAATGTCTATCCAGTGGTACCACCCGAAACATCCCAAGACGAAAATTACCCGAGCAGGGTAATGCCAAACAAGATGTGTTTTGCCAGTTCCCAAGTGTCGGCTGCATAAGTCGTGCCGCGCCAAAAATTCATTTGATTTCTAATCATCGTGACATTGTTATATAGGTACCTGCTACAGGGTTTGTTTATGTAATAAAATGAAAGTTCAGAATGTGATCTTTCGAATGGTATATATATTGTTCTCATCTGAGTTGAATATAAGTGTTTTTTTTTACCGTTGAAATAATTTCGGCCCATACTGTCACGTTGTGACGGTGGCCATTCTGAGCATCAACGGCAAACCGTCACTCGGTGACGGTTGGCCACTGCTAGGGTTAATATCTATGGTGGTGATTTTCGGTGTCAATCGTGTTGTCGAGTTGTAGATAACTGCCATACGTTACGCCCTTACTATGAAGTGGTAGGCCTATCCTTAGTGCCAGGAACTGATGACGCGGTTGATACCAAACACCACCACCATGAGTTTTAATGATACCGGCCACAAAAGAATATGCCTGAATTAGGATCTTGCTTGTGTTTAATTGTATTTTATGCAACCGTTGCAGTATAACCAGTCAAGTAGGATGTGGCAGAAGTGACAATGAGCCAAGCTCCAGCCCCGCTGCGCCAGAAGTTGGCAACCCCTCCTGCTGTGCCCCCCGTCCATGGCCGCCCCGCTCCGCCTTCATGTGTCACTCGCACTCGCCTCAGCAACCATCAGCGCAATCTCAGCCTCGATTTTAGGTCAGTCAATCCAGACCTTCACAACACTGATTTAAATTCATGTCTTGTGGTATCAACTTTATAACGTAAGTCTAAATTTACTAAGCCCATAAAACCTATGGATCAGCTATAAAATAGGACTAGCTGGGTATTAACTCGTAATGATTATCACCAGGTCGATGGGCATAGTCCTGCCACCTGTATGTCAAGTAGCACCGGTGACTCTACACCATCGTAACCGTAGTTTGGACTCGGCTCTACAGAGGATACCAGAAGTGGACATCACACCCAGTCCCGAGTGTGAACCACCACAGAACCACCCCCGGCCCCCCACCAGTCTGGGCTCCGATGACTCTGGCATCATTTGCGGGTGAGTTCAGTAGCCTACAGCTTTCAGCCATTAAAATGAAGTGTTCTTGCTGCTATTGTAAGAATTATTTAAATACTAAATTATAGCCAAACACATATACGCTACTGTACATTTTAGTTAATAGGGGTTAAACTCAACAATAAGTAGGTAGACTAAGTGTACTATTTGAATTTTGTTTTGGCAAAATTTTAATGTGTTAAACTTAAAAAACTATGCTACATTTAATCCTGGCATGAATTTAAAATCTGTTACGAAACTGTCCCTAGTAATTAGGTTATTAGTACTTGATGGGTTTTGACTGCTTTTCCTGAAAGGCGTTTGGAATTTCTTAAACTTTAAATACCGCTGGCCTTGACACCAAAAACCATATTCAAACTTCGAACCTTCTATGAATCCATAGGGCCTACATATTAATAAATCTAATAACAGTAGACTTATTAATTTGGTCAATGACCCCCTGTTCAATACTTCTAGAAGGTGTTGATAGGTAGGCCTATATTTTTTTATTCAGTGGGCTAGTTCAATACATAGGCTTATAGTTTTTACTTTGACGGGTTAGCATATGTGTTTACTATTCACCTTTCACTTTTGTTAGTATGGCTTGTACTGTATTGATAGTAGTTCTAAGTTGAAGTCATCTTTGTCTTTTTATACAATAGCCTAGGTGATGTTTTTTGAGTTGCTTAATCAACCCCTTGTATTAACCTGCATCTATGGTTGTGGAGGGTAGACTTATAATGCAAGGCATGTTTCTGCTGATTGAAATTTGTTTATTCAGAGTTACAAAATCATATAAGAACACCATTAATGTAATAATTAACCATTGCATTGAATAATTTAACTTGTTAGCCTAAGTACTGAATTTCAAGTAGGCCTAGTGATTGTGATGGTGTAAACCAGTTTTAATATTGGTTTTGCAGTTTTTAAAAAGCAAGAGCTGACACTTATTATAAGCAAGTTTGTGCGTTCTAGCACAGAAAACATACTACTATAACCCAGAATGCCAACCGCATGGTAAAAAGCGTTAAGTACTTTGAGAGAGCACGCATCGCAACGCTGGTGGCACTGCCTACGAACTGACAGGCAAAGCTCTCTCAAAGTACTTAACGCTTTTTACCATGCGGTTGGCATTCTGGGTTATAGTAGTATGTTTTCGTTGGTTCTAGTGACAAATGAGGCTCTCTTAATACATCTATTTATTTTAAGATGGTTAATTTCTTAGGAAATTTAAATAGCCTTATTTATTTAACACTCTGGCCTTTACAAAAGCATTTACCTTAGACTAAGTGTAGGTTTAGCTAATGAGTGTTTTGCACTTTCTGGTTATCTAAAGGATTAGACTTCAATAAACTGTCAATAACTGTCATTAAAAGCTATTTTGCAATTGCTTTGAATCGGGCATAAATCTCAGTGAAACAGTATGTTGAGTCTTGCTATTTTTTACAACATACCTAACTGTTTTCCCCCGAAGAAGATCTTGTTGCCTAAAGCAGTCTAGTGACACACCTAGTACGGGGTTCAATGCAGGTGTGTAACACCGTTTTCCGCTTGTAGGTCCGAGAGAACGGGCTCCACTCATCAAAGCGATGAGAGCCTAGATACAGAGGCAGCCGCTGCTAGCGTAGAGACGCAACCAACCTCTCCGGCTCAGTCTCCTCAGAGTAGCACGACCAAGGGTTTCCTTCTCCGTCTCTTTGAGTCAAAACTTTTCGATATGTCGATGGCAATCACTTACCTTTTTAACAGCAAGGAGCCGGGCGTTCAAAGCTATATAGGTTTGAGTTGCTTTCACATCTGTTAAATGTTATCCATAAGTTTTTGCCTGAAAAATGCCCTAAATTTGAATTTCTAAGTGTTCAAACAGTGCTAGCATGTTTACTAACGCTGAATGAATTTTAAGATTTAATTATGCATGGATTGTTTTGAGACATAAATGTTTCTCAGTGATAGGCCTAAACAAATACTCTCAAATTCAAGTACCTTAAACTTAAAGGGGTTAATGTAAAAGGATAAAAAAATTAGAATTTGAAATGTTTAATTCTATTAATTTACATAGACATGCTTTTTCAAAATTTGTTACACAATCTGTCAGTAAAAGGTTTATGTACAGATTTAATGCAACGTTTCTGTTACTGTAGGAAACAAGCTGTTTAGTTTCCCAGACTGCGAGGTAGACTTTTATCTGCCTCAATTGGTCAACATGTATATACAGATGCATGACGTCGCAGAGGTCATTCACCCTTATTTAGTCTATAGGTAAGTTCCTGATATTTTTTTATTTCTCATTTGATTTACTAATCCGTGCAGTGTTTAAGAGTCTAAATGTGGCTGCATACAGTAGACTCTCAGTAATACGGCAGATATAGGACCGCCATACTGCCGGATTAGTGAAAATGCCGGATTACTGGAATGTTATACACTTAAAATGCAATTAAAACACGTCTCCGAAGTTCGCGTGATCGGAGACCGCTATTGCCACGATCGGGCATGAAAATTACGTATTCGCGGGAGGCGATGATAACGTCTACACGTCTGCGGGAGATAATTGTGAAATTGCCGCCATCGCGCATAACGACGATGATGTTTTCGTGACCGCGGGAGATGTTCATGATTTTGCCGCGATCGCGCAAGTCGACGATGACGTTTCCGTGACCGCAGGATTAGACAATGATGTTTACACTTCCGCGGGAGATGATAAAATCTTTGCCGCGACCGCGGGAGACAACGATTAATGTCTACATGACCGCGGGAGATGTTAATGATTTTGCCGCGATCGCGCAAAACGACGATGACGTTTCTGTGACCGCGGGAGTAGACAATGATGCTTACACGGCCGCGGGAGATGATGAAATTTTTGCTGCGGCCGTGAAAGGCAACAATAATGTCTACATGACCGCAGGAGATGTTCATGATTTTGCCGCGATCGTGCTTGACGACGATGATGTTTCCGTGACCGCGAGAGGCGATGATAACGTCTATACGTCTGCTGGCGATGTTCATGAATTTGCCGCGATCGCGCATGACGACGATGACTTTTCTGTGACCGCGGGAGATTTTAATGATTTTACCGCGATCGCGCAAGACGACGATGACGTTTTCATGACCACGTGAGAGAATTATGATGTCTACACGGCCGCGGGAGATAATCAGAATTTTTCCGCGATCGCGGAAACCTCCCGTCAGACGCCGGATTACTGGAGTACCGGAGTGGTGCAGTGCCGGATTAGAGAGGGTTTACTGCATTACTTTTGATATGGATTGTGAAATAAGATTTTAAAATTAATTGATCGTGGTTCTGTTTACATTATGGAGACTCATTGTGTATTCTACTGTTCTACTACATTTTTGTTTTATTTGTTATATTATGAGATGTAGCTAAATAATTTGATTAATAAAATCTCTTGGTTAGGTATACATTTTGAAGGTGAAAATGAAATGAAAAAATATCTTTATTCACATGGTATACAGTCGCATACATTGATGGTGTCACTAGGCTTAAAACTACAGTAAAACGCCGATTATCCGAACGCCGATTAACCAAATCGCCAATTATCCGAATCGGCTCCAAGCTTAATATTAAAAATTAAAACTAAGTGCAAAAATTTGACCGACTGCCGCGTAGACACAATGACGTCGCCACCCCGCGCGGCGGTGTAGTGAATTGACATCGAGACAGCGTTTAGATGCGCAGAATGTACAGCGCATGCACCTGCAGCCACTCCCCCTACCCAATGACACGCGAACTATCGATTTTTGGCGGATTCTAGGTCAGTTAGCTCCTCCCTCTTCTATTGTGCGGATCGCTGATTTTTTATAGAGTTGTGAGATTGTCAAACTTGTGATCTTCATTACTGTATGGTTACGTGTGTTAAATAACCAAGAAAAATGAGTGCAAAACGAAAACGTGTTGTCCTATCGCTAAAGAACAAAGTGGAAATAATCAACCAACTAAAAAAAGGAGTGGCGGGAAAGGTATTGGCGGAGAGATTTGGTGTCGGGGCGGCTACGATTACTGACATAAAAAATAACAGTGAAAAGATTTTAAGTTTTGTGACTACGTTGGAAAGTGATGATGGATGTTCGTCACGAAAAGTGATGAAAAAGGCTAAAGATGAATAGCTGGAAAATGCAGTTTTTACTTGGTTTTTGCAACAAAGATCTATTGGACAACCGATTTCAGGACCTATTTTGTGTGAAAAGGCGCGAATGTTCAGTGAAAAAATGGGCGTAGCTGATTTTAAGGCAAGCACGGGATGGATACGCAATTTCAAGAATCGGCACGGCATTCGAGAATTGGATATTGCCGGTGAAAAACTTTCTGCTGATAGTGAAGCTGCTAATAAATTTGTGGAGACATTTAAAAAAGAAACAGAAATGTACGACCCTGATCTTGTGTATAATGCTGACGAGACAGGTTTGAATTGGAAAGCTTTGCCAAGAAAAACCCTAGCATCTAAAAGAGAACAAAGTGCTCCCGGACACAAAGTCAGTAAAGATCGCGTCACTATAATGGTCTGCGCTAACTCTACTGGTACCCATCGCCTTCCTGTATTATTGATCGGCAAAGCAAAGAAGCCACGGGCTTTTAAGAACGTAGCCAACTTACCAGTGACTTACACCAACCAGAAGAATGCTTGGATGGAGAGCACTATTTTTTTGGAGTGGTACGACAAAACCTTTATTCCTCAAGTGAAAAAATTTAAACAAGAAACAGGAAAAAAGGGAAAGGTTCTACTAATCATGGACAATGCGCCGACGCATCCTTCACTAGATCTTCTCGTGAGAGAAAAGGGGAGATTTAAGTGTCTCTTTTTACCTCCTAACGTGACAAGTCTGCTCCAGCCCATGGATCAGGGTGTGATTGAGTGCACAAAACTTCTTTACAGACAACAGATGCTTCGTAAATTGCTCCTAGCTGAAGAGAACGACGAGGAACAAGTTTTGGATTCGTACAAAAAAATCAACTTAAAAGACTGTTGCTACATGATTGCAGACTCCTGGAACATGGTTAAAAGTGTTTCACTTAAACGGGCGTGGAACAAAATAAACGGTACGTCGACAAAAGAGCAACTCGAGTTTGAAAAGCAAGCTAAAGAACGAGAACTAACTGCTGAAGCTGCTGGCGTTGATGAAGACAAACCGGAATTGCCGTCAGTTGGGGAGTTAGTAAACATGGCTAAGGAGATTGCGGGTTGTTCGGAGTGTGATGTCGATGATATGGAAGAGTGGTTGGAATGTGATAGGAACGATCAAGGATACCAGATAATGACTGATGATGAAATCGCTGTGAGTGTCATGGATGAACAGGACAATGAAGATGAAAGCAATGAGACCGGGGGAGACGAAGATGCAGGAGACGAAAGTGTACCATCACATAGTGAGGCGTTCACGTGCTTTGACAACGCCCTCAAATGGATGGAGCGGCAACCAGAGTGCGACGGTGTACAGCTTCTTGCCGTCCGGCGCCTGCGTGATTTAGCTGCGCGGAAACGAGCTACAAGGTCACGGCAACTTACGCTGATCGAGATGTACAAGTAAGCGTTGTAAAAGAACTTTTTGTAAAGAACTTTATATTGTACTGTAGTTTTGTTTTTATAAATATCAGCATTTGTTTCTCTACTTGTACTTAAATTCAATTTAACATCTCTATTATGTCTTAGTTATCCACTCAATAAAGTTCATTCGTTGTGTAACACTTTGTTTTTCTTTATTACCATTCTGTGTCTGATTATCCGAATTTTTGATTATCCGAATCGACCCCGGTCCCAATTAATTCGGATAATCGGCGTTTTACTGTAAATCAAACTAACCTACAATTCATTGAAACCATAAAGTGTTTTATTAGTTAACAAATGTTTAAGTTTATTTTTAAATATAGAAATGTTGTCAATATTCCTCACCTCAGCTGGGAGTTTGTCCAAAAACCTTTTCTCTGCACAGGTGGTTTTTTTGTTAAAGAGCTCCAATTTATGGACACTGACGGCAATTTCATATCTTTTCCGGGTAAAATAATATTGACTATCACCAAGTTTTGGGACCAAATTAGCATTAGAAAGTTTTTTGTGTGTAAAATTGTATGAACAACATAAATGGGCTACCTACTATACACAGTCATTATTCCCATTTTTGAAACATATTGACAAGCAAATATATCCCATTCTAAATTTAACATAATTCTGATTGTACTTTTTTGAAGAGTAAGAATTCTATCCAAGTGTTGCTTAGAGGTACAGCCATAAATACTCCGTTCCGTATAGGTATAGTTCTTAAAACATTTATTTCTTTCCAGATGTAGAAAATCACCTGACTTTTCGCTAAAATGTTCCTGGCTGTTGGATGCCTATAGTTCGGACGCAGCTCTTCCCTCCAAAAAGAAATCTCATGGAACCAAGCTCAGGAACCTGATTCTTTCTGATGAACTGAGGTAAATAAATCTCAAGCCTTACCTTAAATACATAGTGAGACTGTAGGCCTCCATTACATGTTCAACCAGTCACTAGAATGATAAGAACAACGGGCTATATGTGTTCTGTGTCTTCTTGAATGTTAATTTATCCTTAGGTGAATAATTAAAACACTATTAAAGTTGTACACGTTTATTAAAAACACAACTTATTAACTTGACATGTGGTTACTAACCCTTCAACTCAACAAACTACATCTTCTAATTCTGATCTGATACATTTATGAACTTTTACATCATGAACCCTTTTAATTAAACCAAGATCAACACATGTTTTTAAGCCTAATATACTTATGCATTTGTCACTTTTAACAATAATAAACTCTACATACGACTCTACGCTACTTATCTGACATTTCAGTGTGGTTTTCCCTACAGTTTCTAATTTAAATCCTCCGATCACCAATCTTAGGCTTAGGCCTTGTTAAATTATTAGGCCTACTGTCCATACACTGTTTAAGTACATTATAGGGTAGCAAATTAATTTCTGCACCGCTCTAACTTGAAATCAACTAGAGAATTATTTACAATGACCGGCTGAAACCAAGCACTATCACAAGACTTATTGTTAGAAGGTGGATTTACATCATCAATCCTAAAATGAGAGTCATTTTGTGCTAGGCCTACTTGACGAACATCATCAACACGCCTGTCTTGAGATTTAGTCTCACTGGAACGATTTTGACAACCTACTGCAAAGTGGTTTAGCTCCCCGCAGTTTCTACAACTTCTGTTAAATGCCAGACAACACTTTCTTACATGTTTAGAATTACACTTCTTACACAGACAGGGTTGATTATGATTTAACTGTATAAAAATATGAATAAAAGGTAGGCTCTATAAATAGATTAAATACAATTTACTGAATATAAAATAAAGTATCACTGGACATACAATACATTGTACAAAATTCCTATATACCGTACAGTAGACTCCCTCTTATCTGGACACCTTTTAACCGGACATTGGCTTAACCAGACTACACTAGGTGGAAATGACATCTCTTTAACCATACAATTTTTATCAGCACATTGGTTCAACCGTACTAGATTGGCAGGAAGTAGGCGGTACTGAAACGACTGTTCTCGTGGGAAAGATTTGAAACTAGTGATCACATGTCTAAATACAATGCTCTCTTAAATTTAAGTGAAATACTGTAGGGACAGTACCTATGCAAATAAACGGTCAGTTTTAACTAGTTTTTGGGGACATCGGTTTAACCGGACAAACCGTTATCCGGACTGGCCTTGGTCCTGAGGAGTCCGGATAAGACGGATTCTACTGTACGTCAATTTTATGATTCCTTTTTTCAACTACAATTAAAATATAGTAAACAACTGTAGCCGTTAACAATTGCCTAGGACCTGTCTTCCCTCTTTAATAGTACTCATAAAATGGATTTCTTTGCAAGCAAAATTAAATACGTGATTAATTTACCTCTTTAATAGTACTCATAAAATGGATTTCTTTGCAAGCAAAATTAAATACGTGATCAATTTACCTAAGAATATGTTTTGTTTCATGAAAGGTTGGTATGTTTTCCAGACCAAGAGAAAGTGAAGGTGTCCGTCGCAAGTCTAAGGAGGGAGCCGCTCCCCCTACCCCGCCCAGTTGTTGCTCTACTGTCAAGAAGACACATCAGCGATCACGATCTGACGCGTCCTTTCTGCATTCCACCAACGGTTCACAAAGTGAGTGCAATTCATCATATAGGATCACGGGGAGAAACTAAATGTCCACTTGATGATAAACTTACAGTGTACACATTCCTTGTATAATGTTTTAAGTTAAAGACTAATTTTAATATAAATAATAATAATATTATAGATTAATACATTACATTACAAACTGTGTTTTAAAAATTTCAGCTACTCCAAGTTCAAAAAAACTAAGCCTGGGAGACTTAAGTTCTGGAAGAGCTTTTGACAACGGCTGCTCTTGTTTTGATTCATGCCAGGGCGTTGTGAACGATCTACGAGGGAAGCTGGTTGAATGCACCTGTAGTGTAAGTATTTTACCTTACTTTGTTTTCTTGGTTTTTAGTGTCAGTGTTGTGTTTAGCCTATTTGATAATTGTTATAGTTGTATAACTGTTTATGATAGAACAACTTTTTGCAAGGCATTGTTTGTCACACCAACTAAACCTCAGTAAAAAAACTGATGGAGAAAATGGAGGATTAGGCTGTGATTGGCTCATTCATATGTTCTTTGTGATATAAAAATAGGTTTGATACATAGGTCGTAGGTAAGTCTGTGGATATAAACTGGATGTCTTCTTGGTATAATTTAATATCTCTCAGTATCATAATAGGTTGTGTGTTGTGTGTGGCAGGCTCCAAGACTGGCCCCTGAGCTAGAGCTGATCAAGAGTCTCAACTGCATAGGCAAGCTACTGTCCACTCTGGAGTCCAAGGAGGCCAAGACTACCAGACTGTTAGTGGAACTCGGCTCTCTCAACCTCAACCTCCCTGCTCGGGTTTGGCTGCCTCTGCATGACAAACCTCATCACATAGTCAGGATACCTCCGCAAGCTGCCGCCGTGCTCAACTCCAAGGATAAGGTAACTTATATTTTGTTGAATCCTAACATTGAACTATCCTAAAATGTTCCCGAGATCGCGGGAGATGTTTAAGCTTTGCCAGGTTCACGGTGACAGTTGCAATGTGTCCGTGATAGGAGATATTCAAAAATTTGCCTGATCACGGATCACAATAATAATGTCCCTGTGATGGTGCGACATTTTAAAAATTCAAGATTTTGTCACGATCATACTGATGTTCCACCTAAGGGGTGGAGGCTGGTCCAGTTATTTTCGCCTAGGGCCGCAAGTACCGTAAATCTGGCACTGTTTTCTACCTTACCATACCAGGACTATGGTATTTGCAAATTTGTTGTTTAAGTTAAACAAGAGATCTTTGATTCTATTTTTCAAAGTCGAAAGGTTTTAGTTCCTTAAAACCTTGGTCAATTTACTGATCTTTACATACTAAGCTGTACTTACTTGTTTTTCTAGGCTCCTTACATCCTGTACGTGGAAGTGATAGAGGTCGAGGACATTCAGAGCTCTGCAGTGGTTCCTCGAGTGATGAACTCCCTCAGGCACACCAGAAGTGAGGAGAATCTGTTGTCGACAAACAACTTCAGTCATCCTGCAGTGACAAATGGTGATGACTCAGCTGACAACTGGACCCAAGAAGACGATGAAATCTCACAACAGGTTGGTTTAAAGCTCAGAGAGTTGTTTGAGAAATGACTGTATTTTTATCAGTCTGAGTCCTTCAGGCTTTTATTTTTTGCATTTCTTTTAGGAATTTGCTGTTTTTGCCTTCATACCTCAAATGTTCTGGAGCTATTGTTTGTTCAAAAAGCATTTTACATAATTTCAGTTCACTTCTGTTGCTTAATGTTTCATTTTAGAGTGTACTTCAAAGTGTGAATGAATTTCAAACATTAATGCACACAGAAAACAGACAATATTTCCTTTTTGTACTTGTTCGTGGTGAACAGCACAAGTGTTACACAAAAATTACTGGATGTTTGAGTTGGTACTTATTACAAAATGGCTCAAACTAGCTATAATTTTGCATATTTTAGTTTGAAATTAGTTTAAGGCATTAGAACAGTCTGTAGTTTCCACTAATCTTAAAAAACTGGTTTATGAGTTAGATAAAGAAATTTCAAATTATTAAAATAAGTTTTCAAACTTAACGTTATTTATACTTTGTTTGATTTAAATGTCTGATAGTTACTTGATCTGTGCAGTACCTACAACTGAGAAAACCTGTTGTGGAGAGAGACACAATCTCACAGCTGTCTCTTGAGTCATCTGACTCCAGGGAGCCTCCGATGTTTGCAGCCGGAGACATCCGTCGTAGACTGTCCGAGTCCTTCCATGACATCCGGCCCTTCACGTACGACCCTGAGGACCCTTCTGCTGCTGCTCTTAAGGTCTGTGAGGGCATGAATGCACATAACTATTTCATACTGTTAATACTGTTCAATGAAATGGCGACCATACACAGTAGGTATTTTAAGCCAAGTATGAATGGAGATGAGTGTAGGATGAGTGGTGCAATCTTGGTCTTGTTAGTGACTAAGGCCGACATTCCTTAGACACAGCTGTTAATTAATAGCCCATACAGCTAATGGCAACTAAGGGAACTACAGTTTAAAGTGGAATCCGAACCACATTTTTGGTGGTGAGGTAGCCTCTGGATCACTAAATTTAAACTAAATGGTTTATGTTACCTGGCTTCGTCAAGTTATCCTGCTTCAGTAGTACACTACTATAGTTTCGGACTTAAAAAGTCCATCTTCAGGTTAAACAAAAACGTCAATAAGTCATCTAACCAATTTGGTTAGATCCGTCGTTACACTTAGAACACGTGTTCGTGTTCGTGTACATGTTCTAAGTGTAACGACGAATCTAACCAAATTGGTTAGATTTAGATGACTTATTGACGTTTTTGTTTAACCTGAAGATGGACTTTTTTAACTATAGTAGTGTACCACTGAAGCAGGATCACTTGACGAAGCCAGGTAACATAAACCATTTAGCCACATTTTTGCCTTATATATATGAATTGGTCTAATTATCAGGATAGTACTGCGGATAGTCGTAGTACTCACTAGTACGGACGTTAATCCACACCAGGGAATATCGCACCAGTGCACAGTGCATTCCTATAAATATCCACAATTCGTGACCTCCTAGTAGCTGGATTACAAGACGACGCCACCCGTCCCAGTCTTATGATGAACTAGTCATGACTATTTAACTAAAAAGCAAATGTTTGGAATGTTCCGACGAGGGCCGGAGTCGCAGTACTCACCAACTGTACTCTCACTGACCGCTAAGGAATGTGCTCGTTTGACCAATTATTGCAGTACTAGGTACATATTTTCAAAAGTTGTGTACCACATTTCCTAGTTATGTTATGTGTTATTTGTATGTAAATTGCTGGAGTTCATTGCAAGATTATTTACGGTCTTGATATACATAGATATATGAGCCATGATAGAATAAAAATTCAGGGCCATCGTCCAAAAACAAGTAAGTTCCAAGACAAGACAATTTGATACCTATGTTTACTACCAAACTGTTTTTGCTACATATTACTATTACATGAATAATTAAAAAATACCAATAGGTCAAGATTATCCTATCGTTTGCCGAATACTTGTTGCTGATTGTTGTTCTGGTTTGATAGGAGCCGTGGGAGGAGAAGCAGAGAAGGATCAGAGAGAGTTCCCCGTACGGGTTCCTGTCTGGCTGGCAGCTACTGTCAGTGATTGTCAAGTGTGGAGATGACCTGAGGCAGGAGTTGCTGGCGTCACAGTTGCTCACCATGTTACAACGTATATGGCAACAGGAACGGGTGCCATTGTGGGTCCAGCCTTACAGGTCCGCTACTTTATAGAATACTAAGAGTAATTAATTATTTATCTTTTGTTCTTTCAAAATACTCTTAGAAACTCTATTTGTATATTATACAAATATACGTGGTTTCAAAATATTAGTTTGAAATACTATGATGTTTTTTGACCAAAAGCGAGACTTCCATAAATGTATAATATGTTTTAACCCAGATTGGATGCATTTTAAAAGACATATTGTAAAGTCAATGTCAATTATGTCAGGATTTTTGTCAAATCACAGTGCATGTCACTCATATTTGGTTTTTGTCCATGTATTGTCAATCTTGACATCCGTTAAATTGGATGTTGGCACTTTTGGGATGAAATACTTGTTGGATCATAAAATAATCGTCTTCAGGTAAGAATGGTGAAAAGTCCTCACACTATTACCAGCCAACAAGGGCTTACGAGCCTCTGCACTTATAAACCAAACCAAACGCTATCCAAGACTTTTTTGTCTGTTTATATTTGAATATATTTTTAAGTAAAAAATAAATAAATAACTGTTACAGAATATTGGTGTTGTCCGATGACTCGGGGCTGATTGAGCCAATCCTCAACACCGTATCTCTACATCAGATCAAGAAGCACTGTCAGCTAAGTCTAGGGGAGTACTTCGCCCAGGAGTTTGGTGTCAGCAACTCAGAGTCCTTCCTGACAGCTCAGCGCAACTTTGTCCAGTCTTGTGCTGCCTACTGCCTCGTCTGCTATCTGGTGCAGGTCAAAGACAGGTCAGTTGACTCTAAGAGAACATGGTTACAGTTAACTTTCAAGGTTTTCTTGAAAATCTGTGATCACGGTCAAGCCACAGCATACATTAGGGAGTCCTCAATGACTAAATTCAATTTCTTTCTACAGGGTGAGTTTTAATTGTCCCCCCCCAACTTTTTTCTACATTTTTCAAATATCAATCCCAGACCACGTCCAAACATTGTTAGGTAGTAAGTAGGTCATTTTGACAAGGTGGTCATTTCCGGCAGACATCTTGGATTCGCCATATTGGATGCAAAATATTTTTTTTCAAATGTAGAGGTGGAGTTGTGACCTATTATTTCAAACTAAATTTTTGATTTGGTCAACGATGACTGGTAGTGTGTACTTATCTTTTTCTAGCACTATTTTGAGATTATGGTCTTAGTTTGTAAATGTACAATGTTAAAATGGGCTAAAAATAAAATTATAAATAGCCCTCATAACTTTGGAATGGATCAAGATTTTTAATAACGGTTTGCGGCATTGTAATCAGGGTAAAAATTTAGTTCGAAATAATGGGTCACAACCCCACCATTACATTTGAAAAAAATATTTTGCATCCAAGATGGCGGTCGGAAATGACCACCTTGTCAAAATGAAGTACTTACCACACAACAATGATTGGAAGTGGTCTGGGGTTGATAATATTGAAAAAATGTAGAAAAAGGTTTGGGGGGGCGGGGGACAATCAAAAGTCACCCTGTATAGGCCTAGTTAATTATTAAATTTTAGTTTGAATTAACATTACTGATAGGTTGTACAGTATTTTTATTTGTAATAGGACTGTCTAAATTTACTCATATGGGACGTTATATAGTTAAGTATATTTTTGTTACAGACACAATGGGAACATTTTGCTGGATGGGGAAGGCCACTTGATTCATATTGACTTTGGGTTTATCTTGTCCACCTCACCACGCAACCTCGGGTTTGAGACTTCACCGTTCAAGCTGACGCCAGAGTTTGTCGAGGTGATGGGAGGACTGGGCTCCGACATGTTTGAGTACTTCAAGATACTCATACTGCAGGGGTTGGTGGCTGCGAGGAAACACATGGACAAGATCTTGACTCTGGTGGAGATTATGAGAACTGGTCAGTACTTCAGTTTGTGCTTTTGGGGCTCAAATCTTGGGCTTTTGATGTTGAATAGGATATAGTTTATTTAAAGTTGAACTTGATTGAAAAGAGATGTCATTCACTGTATACAGTCGGCACTCGATAAGCCGACACGCTACCAGGTCAGATTACCAAAATATCTATTAACTAAAAAAAAATTATAAAAAAAATAAATAAATACTAAATCAACCTGTAAGTTTTAAAAATTGACTTCCATATTATATATTTTTTTATCTGCTTGGGCTTTAATTTACCAAAAAAACCCTATGTTTATGGAAGACGAAACACAAATAATATATAAAAATAGCGGAAACAAGACTCATTGAGTGAAGCCTCAATTAACGCATGAATTGGACTGTTAAATGACGGATTGTCTGGTGCCAACTGCATTCGATAAAAACTTTCCTTACAAACTGTTAGGTATTCAACAAACACTAACAAAGTTACACCTTAAATATCTTAATATTTCAAATTTGCAGTTTGTTGTCTCTTGCTAAAATGTCAATATGAGTAATGGCAAAGACTTAATCAACCTTATAAAAAAGTTCAATTTCAAATCAACAAGTTTCATGCTTGTGTAAATCTGGTGTGCTAAGTTGTCAAAGCTAGTAGTTAGTTGAAGGCCTAGTGTTTTGTAGGTTCTCAGTTGCCGTGTTTCAAGTCCGGAGCGGCGACAGTGCAAGGTCTCAAGAACCGCTTCCATCTGAGTCTCACGGAGGAACAGCTGCAACTGTTGGTGGATGGCCTGGTGGAGTCCAGTATCCACTCTCTTAGTACCAAGCTGTACGATGGCTTCCAGTACTTTACCAACGGAATACTCTAGTCAGGTCAGTCTCTTTGCATGTTTTGCCGTTTGAGCGATCTTTAACATTTCTTTCTTCACTTTTCCATTAAGAACAAATTTGATAAATTTTTTGCCATCTTGTATGAAACCTGTATTGAAACACACATGTGAACCAGGTTGACGGCATTAACGAGTTTAATAGAGGGATTGTACACAACACCAGTTTTGTTTTTACCCTCGTATTAACCCCTTAACCGCCGTCTAAGTAGCCTAGTCAAAATCCGCCATTGCCACTTATTTTTGCCGTTTTTGACGATTTTTACTTGTGATTTAATAAACTGTACCAGTTGTTTTTCTAAAGAAAATAGTAATCAATATTGTTTGTAGACATCTTCAAAAACATTAAGCTTTAACAATACCCTACTGAAATTTGTGATTGTGGGGGGGGGGGGGTGGGGTTCGGGGGATTCTTGAGTTAGGCCTATAATAAAAATTAGGCCTACAATAAAGTCTACAACTCTAATAAATCGTCATCCTCAAGCATGTCACCAGCCATTACGACTAATATTTACTACTCATTCAACACTACCAAGTAAATAACCACCAAAAAACACAATTATAATGACACGCATAATGTACGTAAGCATTACGTAAGCTTCCGCAAGCACGAGTTTTACTGAAACTACGAACGGAACTGATCGGGACCATTACTGACCTATAATACCACTAAAATCCACCAGATTGCAGCACTAGTCAAGCAGCACTGTCAACAACTTGTTTACGTACGTATATCAGAGATAAGGCGGGAAGTGAGCTGTTAAAAATAAAACACAACAGCTGATTACGTCAACACGAGATAACTCGTACGTGGCGGTTGCTCTGAAAACTAGTATAGCCCGGCATATCTCGTGCGTGGCGGTTAAGGGGTTAAGGAGGAGAACATGGATTTTTTTCCATTTGTTTTGGTTAGATATGGACAATTAAACACATTTTTTACCAGAACTGTACGTGTTATTAAATTAACAAAAGTTAAATAAAAATACATCTAATAACACTTGGAACATATATTTACACTTGTAGACTCACGAGGCCATAAATATATATATAAAAGATCCCTTGCCTATTGGGTCTAAGAACATTACAGTGCCCAATCGAAAAGAGATAAAAAGGAAATAACCTTAAAACTTTTTTTGATAAATGAATCACAAAAAGTGTCATCAATAGTAAATATGTAGTACAGTAGAATTCCGAGTTAGAAGGTACCCAGACTACCTCGGATGATAAAAAACTCGGATAAGATGGCGGTAAAAATTATAGGTTAAAATTAGACAAAAATTATTTTGAAACTCTAGAATATGGTTTATTATTACAGTAACAAGTGATTTATGATTAAATAAAAATATATTTCTCTCTCTATCAACTTGTACCAACAATCGATTTATTACCGGCGGAACTGCATTTGCCCGGCTATCAATACTGTGGATCTGGAACAAAAATGAAAAAAAAGGCTATATACAGTACTGTATTTGCCTCGGTTATCCCGGCGGCTCGGATAATCGGACTACTGTACATTGCCATGACTGGTGAAGGTCAGTTAGAGTAATTGCTCAACATCGTACAGTGATATACAGGATTTGAAATATGTTTGCAGATGCAGGAGAGTGCCTTGCCCTGGTCAACGCTAGTCTTACCTCCACAGAAGCAATACTCGACTATACGTGATTATTCTCTCCATCGCCTTCATGTAGGTCTAGGGTAAGCAATAAGTCATTCCTACGAGTGCTCAAACCGCGCTTAGTTACTCCACACTTAGTTTCACCGTGCTCAATGTAAGTGCTTATTATTATTATGATTTAGAACACCAATGGCATGTAGTGTGCAACATAATGTTGAAGCCAAACAGTTTTCTTCAGTGAAAACACAACATCATTGAAAATCATCAATTTTACTATTACTTTACGGTCCATAAGAGTTGAAGTGCCTCCTTCGGGTGATATTTTTCTTGCTAGAAACCTAGAAATAATCGATATACTTTAAAAATACGGATACGGTGTTCTATTATACAGGTTATTATTTTTTCAATGCTGCTGATTGTTTGCCGGTAGTACTTAATTGCATCTGGTTTTGGTGTTATCATCTTAGTTATACAATTTTATAACGTTTTATATTTGTGATTTAACTTACCCATTTGGAATATAATTTGTTTTTAGAATGGGTTTGTCTACTGTTGTTTAAGGGATATGCTGTTTTGATATTATTAAGCTAAGCAATGTTGTGTACTGTATAACTTAAATTTGTACCGTCTTTTTTGCTTCGTACTACTACGTTATTAACTACTTTCATATAGGACATTTGGATACAATTCACATTGTAATTCATTGTTCAGACCTATAATGAAAAGAAAAGTAAATTCATTTTGTAAATAGATTAAATAGTATTTTATACATATTGTTATTTATACAATTATTGTAGATACTCAATTAAGTGTTGTACTATAATTATTACAAGTGTGGCCGGTCACAGACAGTTTATATGTAATGAAATATGTAACTTGTTATTATTTCTTAACAAGTTATTGTTTGAGAACGGTGGTTAGGCACCAACATTTTATAAATACCTTTTGATAGAGGAATAACAAATTATCATTAGAAAATTTCAATAATTTAATTCAAACAAAACCCAAAGCCTAGTTAGACATCCCCGGATTTTTAATTGAAAGTTGGTTACATTTAAACAACAAAATGTGTTTTAGTCTTATAAAGACTTATTTTGTTGAACATAAAAATAATGAAAAACTAAATGAAAATGTGTTTGATTAAAGTAAATGGTAATTTAAACAAATATTGTAAAATGACGAAGTTAAACTTAAATTAATATCCACAACTGTCAACTAATACTAGTACAGCTGTGCTATATCATGATGCTGCTTTCTGATGTAACTTTAACTTACTTTTTTATAAGATTTTAAACAGAATGTGTAAGTTAAATTTTAAATATAGCCTAAATATATATAGCCTATAGCGGGTTTTAAATGATATTTTTGTGTTACCTTTTCATATTATTAGCCAAGATTATGAACTTTTGTTCAAATAGTTCTTTAGGATTATTATCCTATTTTACTGTTTACTAGTACTATGATCATTTGTATGTTGGACATTGTTCACATACTTTAGCCTATATAAAGATACAGTAATTTGGAAATCATTTTGGTTAAATAGATAACAGCTTATAACCGGCTGACTCCTTTTACAGGTGGTTTCACTTTTTTCAAAGTTCTGTAAATTCTTGTGTTTAATTTAAAATCATGTTGAATTAGTTTTGGAACAATAATTTTGCTACAAGCCTTTTTAAATATTTTGTTGATTTTACATAAAACTTTAAATTTTGCAAACACTGACTTTATTAATTTTTGGTTTGCCACTCATTTAGAAAAATCGCTAAAATAGATTTTAAAATCCTGTTTTTTGCCTGGCCTATTTAGAAATTGGTAAACACCCTTACTGTGTTTTATAAATGTGATTATTTTTACAAGAGGCATTAGAAAACTGGAAAAAAATAAGAAACACTAATAAGATTTTCAATTACTATCTTTATCAACAAATCATCAAAGTACTACCTTTATATTTTATTTAGCTTTTGTTCCACTGTAGAATATTTTGAGTACATAATATTACATATTGTAAATAGTAAGAGAGTTCAACTTATGTAGAGCTTTAAAATTTTTGTAAGATTTATAAATTTAAAATCGATGTACATGAGTCCTGTAATATACATATTTTATACTAAGAGTTTGTAAGTCGTGTCAAAATGTGCTATTTGTTAAAATTATATATGTAGGATCTTGTATAAGCTATGATGCATTTCCTAGTAACATTTGTCTAATTAATTTTGTATATTTTACTATAAATAAAGACCATGTATAGTACTTTTGTTTTTAATTAATAAGTTAAACGGTTAAAAAACCAAAAAGTAGTCTTAATTATTGGAGATGAACAATATATTTAATAAATATTTATACCTTCCCACAGTCAAGTATATTTTGTAATATTAAAATTAGAAACTGACTAAAACAACATGAATTAAATTCCTATAATGTTTACATGTTGCATTTAAATATTTAAATTTCCACTTTGAAATATTTATTGCGTGTTACAAGTTGTGTTTTCGTATTGCTTAGGTGAAAAATGTGAGTTATTTAGTATGCTTTATTCTTGTATTTGTTGTTGTTGCATCTATTCAAATTATAAAGACTTTTTAACTACTGTTGTTTATCATAAGATTGTGGTGTTTTGGTTTTAGCTTGATTCTTAAAACACACTTCCACATCAATTGTGAACAAAATTAAATACTTTAATACTTAATACTTTAACTGAATGGCGACCATACGAAGGTAAGCCAAGTATGGATGGAGATGAGTGGCGGATGATCTTGTACAGTAGTCTTGTTACTTACTAAGGCCGACATGTTCCTTAGACAGGACTGTTAATTAATAGCCCATGAAGCCAATGGCAACCAAGGGACCTACAGTTTATGGTGCAATCTGAACCACATTTTTGCCTTGTAATTTACTAAATTGATCTAATTAACAAGATAGTACTGCGGATAGTCGTAGTAGGCCTACTCACTAGTGTGGACAATATTCCACACCAGGGAGTATCGCATCCACAGATCATGCATATAAATATCCACAATTTGTGACCTCCAAGTAGCTGGATTACAGGACAACGCCACTGTCCCAGTCCATTAAAAAAATAATGGTTTTTATTACATTTATTCAGATTGTATTGTTATAAATATCCTTTTAAAGGCTACTAATTGGCAAACAAGTAAAACACATCACTTTTAATTATTATGTTTATTTAAGTTACTAACTTAATTGTGGAAGTTGATCTGCTTGTTTAAATGTATTAATTTGTAATTGTCTTGACTTCTCAAATTCAAAAGCTATTATTGTAAGGCAGAATAATTAATTGTCCAATCATGAGATTTAAAGATATCAGTTGTGACTAATGACTGAAACATTTTTGAGGAACAATTATGACATAATACAACAAACGCATAATTTGGATGGTTTGTCCTACATAGTCTACTCCTTGTACAAATTTATCTTTGTCATTGTTTCTAAGAATGATAATTGTGTTATACAATTAATTTATTTGTTATTAATTTGATAATCATTACAAAAATCTAGTTTGTTTTTCTCATAATCTTGTTTCAGTTTGTTTTGTTGCTTATCACACTACCGATAATATTTACTGATTAACTACAACATAATTTAATTTCTAAGTAATTCATCATGTTGTTTATTAAAATGTATTTTATTTTCCAAAATAATTTAATCTGAATTTAACAGATATTCAAATGTAAGAATCTGTATGAGAAATTTGAAGCAATCAAATTTCACATCCTTTATTGAAACATAACACAATGACAATTAATTTATAGTAGAAGGCTTTTGTAGTTTTATCATATTTTATTTTGTATTACTTAATGTATATTATGAATAGTTAAACATTGTTTCCCAAGGGGTAATAATGTATTTATTTTACTTTAATGTAATTTGTTTATTTAAAAAATTGTACATGTTTTGTAAATCTATTATTTAAACTCTTGAACATTGTGATTAATTGCACACCATTACTATTATTAAAACTGAGTTGCTTGTCTTGAGAAACTTAAAATCAAAAGATAAATTTAAACAAGCGAAAATTAGTAAAGCTAGAATCAATTGAATTGAACTTAAGTACCGAGTTATGTAAATAGTTCTAAGTTTTTTTAAATTTCTGTCCTTCATAGAATAGATTTAAGATTCCGTCTCAAGTTTAGAATAGATAAATTTTATATAAAATTGTGCATTTGTAAGACTGAAAACGGGCCATCATGTATTATATCACATGTACCATATTGCATGAATTGCTGACATTTTTTGAATAATCGTAATATGATTGTTTCCTTATGTATTTTTTTCAATTTTGAATCTTTAAATGAACTTCATATGTATTATAAAGTGTTAATTCTTTACAATAAAACCTCAGATTCTTTTTATGTATTCTTTTAATGATTTATGAAACCTTTGTAACATCAACATACATCATAAATTATATTATTGTCAAAGTCTTGATCTACTTGTTTGTTTAGCTAAAGTAATTCCAGAAATCTTCTTAGTTGACTTTAAAAAAATTAAGAATCCCGATTCCTTAGCAAAATGTGTTCACAAAAACAGGCCCTTTTTTACCCCCTTTTTAGACCCCTTTTTACAAAAACAGTAAAGGATTTTTTTTAACTTTTTCAGATACATAAATATAGCTTACATTGACCAACAAAGGGTTTGGAGGGATTAGTCAAGGCTCTGCCCCGAGTTATTCTTATTGAGATATAAACGATTTAAAATCTATATAAATAAAATTAGAGTTTTGTCTGTACATTGCTCAGAATTATATACTTTTAGGTTATTTTTACGTTTTATACATTAAAGAAACAGAAACAACTCTTATCTCTATTTCTGTGTGTCTGTCTGTCTGTAACACTCAAGATGGCATTTAACGCAATCTTCTCCATGAAAACGAGAGTACCTATCAAGATCCAAGTCATTTTAATGTATTCACTGGATTGGCGAGAGTGTCTTTAGCCACTAAAACATGGCCTCACTACTTTGTAAATAAAATTACGGACGTTAAAAAATGCAGTTTTGTGCGATTTTTGCCAAGTTTACGTTCAATTTTTATCACATAATCATCTATGAAATAACGAACAGCTTTTCGGATCATGATGATTTTTTCTAGCTGTCACTGATATGTTTACAAATGTTGTTTACAAATACCGCAATCATTTCCGATCACGTTTTGAAAGAAAATCCCAAACAAAGTGAGATTAAAAACATTTTTCTTACATAACGGATTTAATTAATCGCAAGTGCAATATAGTGTAACCGTATGAATGAAATTAAATAACTAGGCATTATCCAGGTCAGGAACCAGAGATTCTTTGTGTATAAAATTGTTCTTGAGTTTTGATAACCAGAAAGAAGACCTTGAATCAGTGTTGTATAGGGCTGGGACACTTAATAATCGTCGCCAATAGCTTACAAACAAGGTTTCCACTCATTGACGGCACTTCAATGGTGATTGTGTAAAGTGTAAAGTAAAAAAATCACAATTGCAGTGGGTGATTGTAATAGAGGTATACGGATGATGCTAAACTCGCTTTTCCAAAGTGTAACTTTCTGTTTCTACTCACCGTGTGATGCAATCGCTGGACCATACAGCCAATAGGCCCATAGCCCATCTCTCTGGTACGTACGCCTACCTATTTATTCATAACAACCTTTTCGATGACGATCCTTGATACCGGTACTTTTCCATGGAATACATGGCCTACCTACTTAAGAAATAAAGTTACAAATGTCCAAAAACCAAAAATTGTGTGATTTTTGTCACATTCAACTGAAGGTTTAAGAAGGTTTCAACTGACTACTTTAAGCTCCCCGTGCGTAGAATGGGCACACAGCTAGTACGTCATAAAAATGCACTTGTAACAAAAAAAATGCTTAAATATATCTATTGATCTATTGAGTTTAGGTATTGCTTATAGATATTTAATATATATAACATGGCACATGAACAGATTTTATTATTTACAGCGAGTTAAAGAAATAATTATTTTCAGTAATAAATCAATTCACATAAAACACAGGCAAAGTTTAAAAATTCTGTATGCAATTTCATGCTGGTAAATAATTAGGTTAACTTAAATAGAAAAAAATTGTATATAAACAATCTAGTTGAAATCTAGTTAATGACCGAAACTGTCATTCATTGTTTATACCCAATGTTGTGATCCAGTAAATGACCAACTCTTAATAATAATAATAAAATAAGTTTAAATAAAAATTGTTCGTTAGGGTTTTGATCTTAAAATGAGAACAGAATTGTAACTTAATATGCTATCAGTAAATTACGTATAATACATTGCAGTTACCACCAATAACCAAAGTACAGTATCAAGACAAATAACAACCAACCATGTTTGTGGGAAGCTTGAAGATGTAATTTTGTTTGATGCTTGGCACTATCTTTGTAACCTGTGACAGGGTGGATTTCAAGGCTACCTTTAAGACCTTGTGGTACCATACAAAACATAAAGCTTAATATGATGTTTTTTATACAAAACGGTTAGTCAGCGGTGCAATCACCCTCTGATGCAATGTTGTATCATGGTACAATGAGTACAATCCTCAAAATAATTTTACAAAGGCAAAATTTGCATGGAAATTGGGCACACTCTTTTGATTGCTGTTGTTTGGCTGTAGTGGCTATGAAGGTAATAAATGTGGTATCCATTGTGTTTAAGGTTAAAAATTTTAAACATGAAATGCCAAAGTACAGTTAGCTCTGTGACAAAAAAGGTGGTATGGTACTTGGGAATACAGCTAAAGCTAAAATAAACATGTACAGATTAAATATAAATGCACGGAAGAATAACGTGAAATAATGAGAAATAAAAGGTGTAGATGACAATACTGTAGCAAGTTATTAGTGATCCGCCGTGGTAACGCAGAAGGCCGGAGGAGCCACACTCTCTCATCCAAATCTCGTCAGTGGACAGCCAATAAAGGCTTGGATGCGTTGCCAGCCTAGCTCTAGAGCTTTAAACCGCTGTCCTTTGCGTTCAAACAAAATGCCACTGACTTAGACCTTAAAACAATACATTGTATGACAAATTTGATACAAAAAGTAACTTACTTGTTTTAGGGTGCGCTCTACCTCAGCTTGGATTTCTCAATACGAAGTTGCTGAACGCCGACGTTCCTATACCATTGCATTGAACAGCGCCATTAAGAGCGCTTGCAAGCCTTTCGAATCTGGGTGATTATATAGTTATTCTTAAATTGTTTAGTAAACTAACTGCAGATTCTTCTTTTTAAGAGTCTATTGCACTTTCCCAGTTTGTTATTTTTTCTCCGAAAATTATTTGATGCGTTAAAACTTATGATAATAATTTATTTTTGTAAAAAAATACAACCGACTTCAAACGCTCTAAAAAGAATGAAATAATTTCAATAAAGTAAACTTTTGTATTAGGTAAGCTCACGTATTTTAAGTCGGCGCGGCTCTATGATGATTTTTGATACAAAATTGAAAGAGGGTGTCCATATTGCAAGTGACTATCTATAACTAAAGGTGTTAATCTGCATGTCTTTTTCATAGTTATGCGTTAAGTGTTATTTTATTACCGTAATCAGAGATCGGCATTAGAGTGGTATTAACGATTATCTTTAAAAATCGTATAACGCATTTAAATGTTTTTTAATTGGAAAAGTAACGTTTTAATACTAAACTAGCTTCTTTTCCCTATCATAATATCAAACTAAATTAGTTTCCTATTCATATAGAACATTTGTGTGTGTTATTTTCATAATGCATTTATTCTGAAGTAGGCCTAAACATAAAATACAAGAAGATATTTCCTTTAATATATAAACAAAACAGTTCAGTATGTTTTTTATATATTTATGTTACGTTATCCAGCTACAATTTATTAATTTTCAAAATACACACACAATATTTAGTTTCAATCATATTTGCAGTTTAAGCCGCACCGACTTGAAATACGTGAGCATGCCTAATACAAAAGTTTACTTTATTGAAATTATTTCATTCTTTTTAGAGCGTTTGAAGTCGGTTGTATTTTTTTACAAAAATAAATTATTTCATGATTTTTAGTGACTGTATAAGTTTTTATATATTAAATACTTGAGGATTTTTGATAAGCAAAACTGTTTGACACAATCAAAAGTTCCACAGAACAATCATTATTTTAAAACTGCTTGAGTCACCTTTTCAGGTTACATAATCAATGGGTATGAAAATAAACATTTTTAGATATTCCTTAAGAAGGAAAGAGTTGTCCATTACATTAGGCCTAATGACAAACTATTTGTCTTTTCTAGATACATTGACATGTCAGACATCATCGTTTCCAGCAATCGGTGTACTTCTACATTATAAAAAGAAATACAGTAACGTCTCAAGCCTTATGGAATGAAAGTTATTCCTCAGCTACCAGCACTAAAAAATCCCTCAAAAGTGGAAAATTGGTCGTTAACACGTATAGTACCTTTGGAAAATATTATATAAAAGATTGGTTCAGCTTAAAGTGGTGTAAGTCATGTAGGGGGTTTTGTTTGCTCAAGATATAGCCTAGTCGAAATTGCAAATCATCTTCCTCTAAGACTTTCCAAAGCAGGCATAATAGTATTGATATGATATAGTAACTGGGTAGAGGATATTAATAAACATTCCACATCTGCAAATGAAATATGTATATGAAAGATTGGTTCAGCTAAAAGTGGTGCAAGCCATGTAGGTGGTTTTGTTTGATCAAGATATAGCCTAGTCGAAATTGCAAATCATCTTCCCCTAGGACTTTCCGAATCAGGCATAATAGTATTGATATGATATAGGCCTAGTAACTGGGTAGAGAATACCAATAAACATTCCACATCTGCAAATGCATGTTTAGTAATTAAAATATTTATCGCTTTTAAGACAATTGACGATTATGCACTGTCACACTTCTTCGGTCGTGTAAGGAATAATTGCATTTAATTTATATTTAGACCTGTTTTACGAATGCTTTGGTTTTCACAATACACCTTTATTTGTCAATATCATACAGCTATTCACTGAAACATATATGTTTTTGTAAGTCAGAATATTCAATACTAATAACAGAATTACTGTATACACAAATCAGGTCAAACGTTAAAATACATTTTTTATAGTAACCAAAACAAAATGCATTTTTCTCAATGTAATTCAAAGGCTCCATGGCAAGAAATAGTTTATTGATCAGTGAAGCAACTGTTTTATGAAGAATTGTCTGTAGCTTCATTTAAATGGTTTCAACTAACAGCTGTAGGAATGTTATTATTATTTATTGCCTTCTCTGCACAAATGTAAACAATCTGCACAAATGTAAACAAAACAAATGTTGAATATTTAAGGTTTTCAGAATATTTCACCGAAACAAATATTAT